GCCTCACAACGCCTCACAGCTTTTGAATCCCTTTGATTTTTTTGTTCTATCTATCTTTGTCTTCTATTATTTTAAACAGAATTTTCTTAATCTTAATGACTTGGCAAATGCTATGTAAAGGGAACCACTGATATAAGCACATTGGTCCTTTAGTTTAGTATAATATTGGGTGGAGTGGCTCAAAAAACTTAAATACAACTCCTTCAAACAGCTTTTTTGCCATCGTTCTGAAAAAAGATAAAGGCAGAGAGCAGACATATTTGAATCTTTTATGAGCTGCCATGACATCAAGTCGTTCATACACCATACCAGCAACATCCAGCAGAGTGAAGCACGTTGGAGTGTGTAGTTTAGTTTTCAGAACACTGCTAAACTGGGTTACTCCAACTTCTGTGGATTATTCAAGCACTCATCTATTGGATTATTAGAGAGTTCTTCTGGCTATTGTTGTCACATACTGTAAATGCTATTGCAAATTAAATGTGAACCAGATCAACAGACCTGTATGTGTATGTCAAAGACGATGTCAAAGGAAGTGCCAATTAAGTGAAACTTAACTTGTTTAATATCTTTTATGTGACATACATTTCAAAGCGAAACTGGAATTGTGTCAGGTCTTGCTAAAATGTCTTCTGTTAAAATGATCGTATGCTTACTTCTATGTTTTGACTTAGTATACAGCTGATGCTCAGATGTTCTACTGCACGTCTAGAGATCCTCTAATGGCAAACTGCAATTACAACAGAGAAAATCACAGACAGTGATGTGGATTGCACCTGGCCAAAAACATCAAACAGAACAATAAAACAAATTACAAAACTGACATAAAATACTTCCTTTATAACTTTATAAAAACCCATAACCATAGATACGAAATTCAACAGAAAGCATTTACAAATTCAAGCTACAAATAACTGGAGTCATGTAAAAGACGGACACATACAGTACTGATACCACAAGCTAAGAAGTCTACGGGCAGTCTAGAAGAACAATATCAGAGGGCCATCTTAATACTTTTATCTTGGAAACCGGAGAAGCAGTGTGAGCAATGAGATCAACCTTCCTACATGCCCAGGCTCTAGTGAAGAGAGACTAAACGCACTATCAGGATGCTGGCAGGAACATCAGAGCGAGAAGCTGCCGGGGCGTTCGGAGTCCACTCATGCACCATCACTATCACCAGACTGAAGCTGTATTGCCAACTGACAGGAAGCATCCACGAACGACCCAGATCTGTCAAACTGTGCGTTACAATCCAATTGCAGAACTGTCAATGTCAGAGGGACCACCTGGGGGATTTCTTCCACAGAGCAACAATTACAATTACATCTGCTGATGCAACTGGGTGTTACGGGAGAGAGGACTCCTCCGCATTGCTGGGCTGTAAAAAGTCAGTCTGTCAATCAACATATACAATAACTTCCTGGATACAGGGTGATGGCAAAGCAGAAGGGGATGCCCAGGATAAAAGGAACACCATTACTTGGTGGTTGAGCTGTAAAGGTGTGGGTGAGCCATTAATACTGACATTAATTGTCAGCTTCTTGTTTACGATAGTAATGCCACTACACAGAATGCCAACCACATTGAGATCTACTCTTCTCCCCACTTTGTTTCAGCAATAAACACGTCAACATAAAAGCCTTCATCTTTCAACATGGTACTGTGATGCTCACTGTGACTTTTTATCTCCAGATAAACAATGACTGATCTTGCAGTTCATTTACAGATTGAAAAGTAGAAAAATTCCCTAGGCAGTGTACAATGTCAGTGCCAGCCGTATCTCACTATTTGCAAGATTTTGTTAAACTTTGTATTAGACACATCTGGACCTGCTCATTTACAAAGTCTCAATCTAGTTTTGTGTAAATTGAAAAGAAGTGAAAGGAAACTCAGCAGTTATGAGATCATACCAAAGCCATAAGTTATGTACACAAAGAGACATTTACAGTATATAATTACCAGGAGCTACTTATCATTTATTCCTAGCTTTATATATGCTTTATACAAGCTAAACTGCTATTTGTGTATGACAAAATTAAGTCAACCATAGGATTGTGTTTCTGAAAACAGAAGAAAAAACACTGACTGGAAAATGTAGAACCATATAAAATTTAAAACTTCTGCATTATAAGCACGTATGTTAAATTAAAGACCAAAAATACATTAATAGGCTAATTATTCAAACTTTATCTCATTTAACGTTAAACTTGAATCTTCGCTCATGTTTCTATACCTAATCCAGTTTTTGCCATGTGGTTAACAATGGTGGCAGCAGGTGAAAATTATTCAAAGACTGATAGGAAAATATTTCAACAAATCCCTATTCATTACCCTGACCTCCTTTTCTCAATTATCATTTTTCTAATTATTTGAAGGAACAAAAGAAATAAGGTGATAATATCCCTTTTATCTCAAAATTTAATCCCCAGTACACATCTAAATAGAACAAGTTCCTCTTAAGAAGCCTTCAAATGGAATCTAATTATTTTACATTGTTAAAAAATGCCAGGCTTTGGTGGCTCTTTTTCTCCTAATAAAGCTAAGACTAATTGCAAGGATTAATTTTACATTAAACCTCTGTCTTAAGAAAAAACCCCGAAAATCTTTCAAATCCTTGGGGTGGATTAGGGAATTCTGTGTCCCACACAAGGTGTGGATAATTTCTCTGTGGAAAGCACAATGTTAGTTTCTACAAAGTTACAAAAACTTTGTGTGCTCAATGGAAGGTAGGTGTATGGTACGGCAAACCATTCAAGATCAATTTTAGCTCGGTGAAGAATGTGTTTCAAATACTCTGACATATACAGTATGCACAAAACCTGCTGTATCACTATGTCAAACTAAGTACTGCTGCGGGGTCCTAACTTTATGTGAAACAAGAAACTCCACTGGCTACCCCATCTAGTGGTCAATGAGCAATTTAAAAAAAAATCAATTTTACTGCAGAACCCATGTCCAAGATCTCTCTGTAGGAGGAAAAACATATCAAAACAAGGATCCCTAGTGGCCCAACACAGAGGCGTTTGGCCAACCCCAGGTCTAACTGTCTGTGACTGACATTCAACAGGCCGCAGCGCTCAGCTGGCTGAGCTCCACCAGCACCAGGGCCGTCTCGGCTCCCAGGAACTTCCCAAGGGCCCGGAGACTTGCAATATTTTGTATGTGAGAGACGTGCCTCTCTCCCAGTCAGAGCTGGGCATCCTGTTTGGGCCATGCTGCTAGCGACATGTTAAAAGGCGAACAGCTTGAAAATGGGAGGTATGGAGGAGTCTGCTTACATGTCCTCATTCTCCCCGCATGTGGGGGTGCAGGTTTTGCAAAAGTGAGACAAGGCATGAATAATACACAATTGGTGAATCCATATCTGGCGGGTTAATGTAACAGAAAATCAATCGCAATTCTAAATGGAAAAAAAAAAGAGAAATAAACAGCCTTTCCTGTCCAGATCTCTAATATCCTTTCAATATTTAAGGTGAGTATTTTTGTTATCCTTAAAGTTATTCAGACAAATCATACTTAATACATCATTAACATTTCTTATTTATAAACGTAAATAAAATTAATTAATGATGTGCCAAACCAATAAAGTGGATTGAAAATGGAAGGACGCATGGAATGCAATGTATTCCTCATAAAAGGAAAAAAAGGGTTAAATTATAACTCCCTGTGACATTGCTACAACAGCAATTAAGTTTAAAGATGGAAGTTATAACAACATTTCTAAGATTCTGTTCATAGGTCTATAAAAGGACCTGTTTAACGAAGTACTATTTTTTTCAAAAAGCCAAGAAAGACTGAGACCTCCAGAATCATTTAGAAAGAAGGGGTCTAGAGTGTGAGAGGGAGAAGTAGCAGAGGAAGGACTTTCTAAACAGAAACAGGTAAAGTGAAAGAAGGAGAAGAAGCTGTAAGTCTGGTTTACACGTACAATAATAATAAATTCATCTCTGCACTTCAGGTGCTCATTTCTTACCAACTCCTAGGGCTTTTATAGCCGAAACAAGCACGACTGAATTGTTTTTATTTTTAAAGAAGGCAAGCAGATCCAAATAACTTAAATTCTTTAACAATATTGATTATTGCTTTATTCACAGGTGGTACAGAAAATATAGTTAGCTTCATAAAACAGTGGCACACTTGTTTTAAAAGATTCTTGTAGAAACAAATACAAATATGGCAAAAATTAAAATAGGGCTATAAAGTGACACAGGGGTTGCAGCACTGGGGCCCTGGGTTTAATCCCAGACATGGAAGTGCCGGAGTTTTTAAAAACATACTGGTAGGTTAACTGGGTTCTGAGGAAACAGGCCCTGGTGTGAGTGTGAACAGGACTCTGTGTCTGCCCTGCAATGTACTGGCCTCCCAGTCAGCATGTATCCTGCCTTTCTCTCCCACGATTCTCAATTGGAAGCAGCAGTTAGAAAATGGATGGATGGATAGAAAAACACTTTATAAAACAAGGAACAGATGACCAGAACTGCTTTATTTTAGATGTCATACGCTATAGTACCCAAATAACTCTCTTTCAAGTCAATGGGAAATGTCCTACATTTAATAAAAAAATAAATAAAAAATTGCAAAGAATATGTAAAGACATTTTGATTTTTTTGCAAACCACAAAAAACACATAAAAAACCTTTGAAAATGCAAAGCCCTAGTAAATAAAGCTATGGAAAAAGCTTCCCATTTAATGGTTACTGACCTGATCTGATGCACTGCTTGAGGTCTACAGTAACTGTAATATACAGTATTACAGCACAAAACATCAGCACAATGGAGTTCTGTTGTCAGAAGAAGAATGGGAAGACACAGAGCCTAAAGGATCTGCAGAAATGTTACCACCAGTGCAAAGCGATGGAAAGACAAATACTGCTCATTTTGATTGGTGATACACTAAGATGCACTGACCCTCAAAGCTGATAAACAGGAATGAAGATTAATTGTAAACAGCGGAGTGGCTGGTGCAGTGATTGGCTACCACTAAATGCATCCCTCACCTTATGGTTGTGCCCTGCAGGCGGTCTATCTTTTTGTTGAGCTCAGCAATGATGCTGTGGAGCTCTGTGATCCTCTCTTCGTAGCGTAGTGTGGTTCTCTCCTGCACCTCCTCGTGCTCTCGCATCAGGTGGGACTGCTCACACTGCAAGAACAAATCACCAGTCACTGCCAAGAGCCAAGCTGCAGAATACTGCACCCACGGCACAGTGCCAAAGGTGTTTAGACCTTTATTTACAGGAACCGTGGAGCATTAGTGCAAGACCATCAATCTGAACCACCCCTGGACATATCCATCTCAATCACCGCATTAGTCTTCTAACACATAGCCTATTATTTCAAATGATTTTGCCAGCTGTTCAGTCACAAAAAACATAAAATCCATGATACTGTACAAACAAAATTAAACAGGAATGACAGTAAATTATTTTTGTTTGTCCATTACGTATTTCATATTTTTGTAGATTAGCAGTACATATTAGAATGCTCAATGCTCTTGTATGTAATCACTGTGGCAAGTTTGTTCCAAAGCAAACCAAAATCCTTTTGTCTGAAAAAGATCATTTTGACCCTTTTACCTGTAAACAGATTTGATGGATTTTTTATAACTGTATTTTTTTATCTACCAAGTCTGCAATACCTACCAAAAATTTTTCATGCCGTACGCTAGACAACACAAGGCGTTTTTGTGTCATCATTCATAATTCCCACCAATATTTTCCTTAATAAAATCAATACTTTCTATATTTATATAAAAATAATTTAAAATATTTAAGTAATATCCCAATAGTAAATCACTTGGCTTTAGGTTTGGGTACGATATCAAATTCCTTCCTCTTATCACTGTGTAAACTTCAGATGACATTATTCCAATAGACCACAAATTGTTTACAACCCAGTACATTCATGATTTACATGCGACACAAACATGATGATATAAGCTTTGTTTGGTATGAATGTACGGTAGGTTGCACACAAATGGATTTACACAGTAACACTGTATGGTGCATTATAATTAGAACCACATAAATTCCTTAAATGTCCTTATCTTTTACCATTTCTTCATAACATTATGTCTAAACTATTCCTACAATTCATATGTACATACAACAGTGAGGAAAGAGACCTGAAGTACTAATGCATTAAACTGCCAGGTTAAAATACATTACCCTCAATTCCAGAGATGGTCTATTGTTCCATAAATTCATACAGTCAAATACCACAATTCTTTTCCTGCAGTGTACATGACTTCCAAAACATATGGCAGTACCGGGTTTCAGTCTATTAATATGCAAACGAATCAAATATCTGAACAAAATGGTAGAAGGTGCAAATTTATTGAGAAGGGGTGAAAAAAACATTCCTGTTGAGCTCCTTAACAGCAGCAGATGGCACACATCAAGGTCAGGGTTTCATCAGCCACAGCCGTGGTAAAACGTAAGAAGTGGACGCAAGAACTGGTTTCACAATTGTTGTCAGGGGCAAAATAAAAATACTGTTTTTTATGGCTTCAAATTTAAAGTTAAGCCCATAACAACAAAATGTTTGTCCTTGACCAGTGTTTACACTCTATTTCTGAAGAATAATTTTACAAGAGAAAATCTAAAAAGAAGCAATGCTTGAGAAAAAAAAAATCAAAATCAAAATAAATTCATTTTTTTTCAATATTAGTTTTCATATCCCTGGGGATAAATAATCTGTATTTTCTTTGGAATTAGAAAAAATGGAACAAAAAGACTTGAAATGTGCTCTCTATTGCATTTTTCTTCAGTGCACGGGACACTGAATGTTTTATACAAAGTCTCATCTCCGTTGCCTCCTTACCAACAGATCCAAGCAATATATATCAGAGATGCAGCGTATATGCAGCAATTCTAAACTTATATTTGTGTATGCACCTAATGTTCCATTGCAAGTACTAGCAAGAAAATTCAGGTTACAGATGGAAGTGGAAAACTTCAAAGTCCTTCTCGGCTGATTTGCTCCTAAGCACCCTTCTGTTCCTGAGGCAGACGTCCAGCACAATCTTTGAGCTGAGAGCACTGAGGATGTTGATAATTACTACGGCTGGAATACAAACTGGCAGAGCGCATCTGGAGACCTCGAAATGCGACTCTGGCTATCAGCTTTCCCAGACACCTCACCCTGAATGCTACAGTTGGAAAAAAGGTTCCTTGGGATGACTCAGCCAAATAGGTATGTGCAACTGCTAGGAAGTGCAGAGTTCAAGGTTTTGGATTAGGAATCAAAGAAAGGCAGTAATGAGCTACAGTCATTTTCAGACAATTAGAAACATATTGCAAAACACACAACAGCTGATGATTATCCCGTTTTCAAAAAGAAATAAAATTAGATCACAGAGCATAATTCTTACACTTATTGATAAATGATACTGGAATAGCTGCCATAATGCACAATAATCTAATAATAATCATAATACCTAAGATCTGCACAGAGTTCTTCACCTGCTTTATCCACTGAAGTTACCATCCATGTGGGTGACATTTCTACATTCATATTTCATTATTTAAAAAGAGAATGAAACCCTTCATTGCCAGTACGACACACTTACAGGTACACTCCATTCCTCAAAAATGTACATTTTAGAGGCATAACTTTGGGGAAAAAAAAGAGAAAATAAACACATAAGCCAAACTGAAAAAACGATGAACAAACCAACAAGCACAACATGCTAACACCCTTTTTACTGGTGCCTTCATCTTTAAAATACAGCACTTGTTTAAGAGGTAAGATGTATTTTTAAAACAAACAGAATAATGCGACTTACAGTATCTGTTCTGTCAAGACAGAGCGAATGTGTTCAGTGAGTTTCACTGCCAATGCCAGCATTACTTATTTTCAGATCTCATGAAAACGGAACAGCATTTTTCATCACATAAACCATCAGCTCTATAGAGACAGGCATTTCACTTAGTTGAATTTCTAATGGTGTGAAACATTTACCTTACTTGTTCAGCATTGGTAAGCGCTCAAGGGCTGGTTTTGTATCATGAAGCATTTGCGAGATGTGATGCACAACATGTTACAGAAAGATGCAGGAATGTCTCCTCTCTGATCCTGGTTCCCCTTAGGGCCAATGTGTGGGAGCTGAAGGCTAGTGAATTCAGGCAAATCCAGCATTCAAAATTGCCACCTGTACTCAATAAAAAACTCATTTCCCAACAGACTCGAACAGGTCAAGAGTTCATCTGTGCTATACAAATCATATGAACCACAAAACTGATTTACTCCTCTATCCAAGTTCCCAAATCCAATTTCAACCCAGGAATGCACTCCCTCTACCTAAGGAGAGTGTGTGGAAAGTGTACAGTACGAGTCTTCTAGCAGCAAACGAAGGGCCGGAAATATAATTTAGTATAAGACTGAAAGATAAACAACAGTCATCAGTTGTAAAATGACAGAGAATTAGTAAAAGAAGTTAAAAAAAAACTCACTGAAGGGTAACAAAAAAAGTTGAAAAGGAAGCTGTCAACTTTAGAATATAAATAAAGCAAGATCTCTTCTTATTACGATGACCGTGCTCCAATAGTACATTCATGTAAACTTTGCAATAATCCATCTAAACAGAAAACACTACTGAATTCAAATACAAAAGTGCACAGGCCAGCAAATTTATCAAGCCGTAGTCAAAAGACTCTGAATCTTCACAAACAAACATTACAGTGTCATGTCAGATCAAAAACCCTTGTCAAGAAAAGCTTCTAGTAGAATGAATTTATTGAGCTTACAACAAAGTGATGTATAACCGCAAGAAGAAAATCTATTACAGTGACTCCAGAATGAATCAGACGTGTTAGAGTGAAAGACAGGGGAAGAGTAACAAAACAAGTTTTCAAAGCTCTGGAAGTCAGCCATAAAGAATTTTCACGTTAATAATAGGAATAACATTCAACATTAAAAAAAGTCTAGCTCTACACCTGAAATACAACAGAACTGAAAAAAAAAATGAATAATGTATTTTATACAATAAATTAAGATTATATAAAAGATGGTATAATATTACTAATCCAGAAGGCAAGAATTGCTCATGTGGATGTTACAGAGGAGAGGGCTGGGAAATCACTGATGTCAGATCCACACTGCAAGGAATGGAGAGCCTTTATGATTACAGCTAGGTGACTATTTTTTAAGCTTTATTTAAAACATTCATTCAGAGAAAATGATGGAAGGGACATAATTATATTCTTTGCTACTCAAAGGATCATTGTGTGAAGGATTTTAAACTTAACCCTTAAACCCTCCTCACACAAAAAAGTAATGCTAAGCAATGAAGAGTACAAACTGACATTAACACAAATGGGTTCACATAAAAGGTATTCAGATACACGTGAGGACTTGCTTTGGTAAAATGCAGACTGGATATTAGATGGATCTTCTGCATGCCAGTGATCTGTGTTGTAAAGTTACTGATGTCACCAAAGAGAGGTAATGTGGGATATGGATATTAACCTGCAGACAGAAGGTTTGTTGTGAACCCCAAACATGAAAGTTCTTAGTATTATTCTTAAGAAACTTCAGAAGAGTAATCTTAGCTTTGTCCCTGAAGTGAAGCATAATAATACACAGCTTAGGAAACAGAAAATTACCTATGTACAGTATAACGCTTGTTTTCCATAGCTGGGTCCAGGCTTCTGAACATTTTCACAAAATTTTGCCTTTGGCTCCCTGCAGCCAATGTGTTTCTGAAAACTTTAATTCATCTTGTCATCTTGCTGGAAGCTTTCTTGGTTACTGTAGGTTTTTTTAGGATCCAAGTCAGTATTTCCTTGGTCCCCTGATACATACACACTCATATAATAACCCACTAATCAATCTGCCCTTTTTATTTTAGAGCAGTAGCCCAAGCCTGAAGACAGTATTACATGAAGCATTTATCCTGTGTTACAAGCTGAATTCAACCCAAGGTCAGTAGACTCGCAAAACCATTTGAAACTTGACACTGTTTAAAGCAGATCTGAAAAAGCCAATACCAGAAGCCTGAGTTAGTGATTTGATAAAACACCTTAAACAACTTTATTTTACAATACTTTGATTTATGTTTGTCCTTTCCTCTGACTTTCTTTTTTCATCTCCAATGAGCAAAGAATAGAGTGGGTAATATGCTTACACAACATATCACAAACTTTTCCAATTTTGATCAAGGTTTATTTTATTTGCACATTATTTATTGAAACTCGATGCATGTTTCAGAGGGCGGCAAGCACTTATGTAAAGAGTGGTATGCATATCACCATATATTTTTAAGGAAATGTGGATTAATATGACTTTAAGAGCTGCAGGTCTCTTTCAGTATTCCACTAAGTCAGAGACAAGTATTTACTTAGGTAGTAAGTACTAGAGTGGTGTAATAAAGAGGGCAGTAGACAAAGGGACAATTGGATATTGGAGCAAAACCATTTCAAGGCAAAGACTGGTATTAATGGAATACTGCATAATGTAGGGGAGGAACACTAAGGAATCACCTTGATCAATTTCAGAATTATAGCTTCCAGTCAAATGTTTTATTATACACAGGATGTTCTCATGGTTAGGACAAAGTGCAACGGAGGAATGACGATGAATATTTATCGATAAATATTTCCATGTGCTGACTGACCACAGATCTAAACACAATTTAAAACAGAGTCTTAAAATATTAGTAAGCACAGAAAGTATTTCAGTAGGCTGAAAACCTCAAAGGTCTTATCACACTAAAAAGTCCAAAACACAGAAAAATGTTAATAATGTATAAAGAACTCAATGTAAGAAAAAACATCCTGACTAAAAGGGTATGTAAAAACAGTATTATGACAATATTTGCCCTCACAACATTAATATAATCAAGAAAAATATCAGGATATGTGGTAACGTAAGACCCAACACTAAATCTATAAAGAATATCTATAAGTTAAGATAGAGTCCAAGAACTTCCATTTAATTCTTCTTTTAACCACGTCCATGAATTCATTTAAAGTTATCCCAACCATGTCTAGAAAGATACATTACTCATCTAAATGGTATGATCGTAAACTCTAATATCATAAGCCAATTTTTTGTGACTTGGGTAGAACAGGATGCAAGTGGCACAAGTTGTGTGACATAAAATTGGAAACATGCCAGTTTTAAGAAACACATTAAATCTTCATGCCTGCTATTATATAACACCTCCTATTATAGATGATATAATAGCATAATTTGCGGGACATAAAAGGTGACACTATTATACTTAAGTACTGAGAACCAAAGCATGACCTACGGAATAAAGATTGATTTGCAGTTGCCAGCAGCGACTCTTGCTCTAAGCCTTTTCAAGCAGAGCTGAAAGATTTGCATTCATATCTTCTTTTGTTATAGGAAGAAGAACAAAGAAATTTCAAAAGAAAACAGTGCACATACGCTCAAATCAACCAAAAGCACAGTTCTGAAGCACATTTTTCCAAAACCACCTGTACCATGAATTAAAGGCTTCCAACTTCCTCTCCTCCCTTTACTCCTAATTTGTATATGAAATGGAATTTCATAATAAATAAAAATATGAAAAGCAAAATAAGCTTAAGCTTCCCTGTAACCCAGTATTAGATAAAAAGGTTAGGAAACGGATAAAAAGTATCTGCTAAAACACACACTAAAATATTAATTTTTAAATATTAAATAACATTTTATAAGGTTTGTAAGAGAACAGAATATCCCATAAGACGTCTCTGACTATATATAAATTGTGGATATAAACTATTAAATATACTGTATACAGTATGCTCTGATTACCTAGATTCAAACATTAGGATGTGAAGGATTCTTAATGAGATGACTACAAATATCAGTATATCAAATATATTTCCCTAAAATCTATGCTGAATAATTTATGAATAATCATGTTTAATCTTTAAATACAAAATGTTTCTAACTTTTAAAACACAATATAAACATCGATTTATATGAAGAAATACAACAAATACATTTTATTTTAAATAAAGAGGAGAAAAGTCAGCAGTATTTGATTCCAGTTAGAAAAAAGCAAAGCTGACTCATTTCAGACTGTAAAAAGTCTTTGAACTGAAATATTACAAAACATGAACACTACCTTCCTTTAAAGCCAAGATACTCAGCCAGACAAGAGACTGCTCAGTTTGTCAGCCAGACATAAAGGGGCTTCATCCATTTTCTTTTACAAAAGACTTTCTCCTGCATAATCCAGAGAAGCTCACCAAGTGGGATCTGAAACAGCGCAAGTGACAGGTCGCTGTGTGTCTCTCGAAGCCCCAATTACAACTGCCATTAGAGCCGTAACCCAGTTGCAGACATGAAAAATATTGATTAAAATTTAGCACGTAGCTAAACCCAGCTACTTAATTACGCATTCAGCTATAGTTATATTCCTTTTTTACTTTCATGCAAAGCCTTATAGGATTTCTAAAACCCGACAGAGGATTCATTAACATTTGAACTTTTGCCTCCAATTTCTCCTTCTTAATTGTGCTTCACATTCATGACCCTCGCCTCTAAAGACTAAAATATTTTTCTGTAAGCCGCCAACATATAGTGGTGATTTAGAACTCTCCATAGGCAAGATTAACTGGGTACTGTTAACAGAAGCTTAAGTTATGAAGAACACACTTTTATATTGTGAATGGTTTAACCACTGCTCTAAACATTTACATAAATGCTCATAACATAAAAATAATTCAGTCTTCACAATATATTTTTTCTCCTCTATTTATACTGTTCTACACTGCATGACAAAAAAAAACCTCTGGGTGGAATTATTGTGTGGGTCAATGGAAAAACGCAACAGTAAAAATCGAGGACCTAACCAAAAGTATTTTAATTCCAACGAATATTTTTACCTGTGTACTTAGAGTATGCAGCACAATATAGTTTCATATAAGGCTATCCTGGCCTTCATTGGCATTGAGATAATGCAACTAACAGAATTTAATTGTGTTCTTTCTGACTGACTCAATGAATAAATGCTTTTACTTAGCATGAACAGTACAGCATACTGTCAAAACATCTTTTTTTCACCTTAGAAATATCGCAAGACTACGCCCTATGCTATCATTAACTGTGGCTGAAAAGCTGATCAACATATTTGTATTCTCTCGAATTGACTACTGCAATGCTCTGTTCCCTGGGGTATCTAAATCTACTCTGAACAAGCTGCAGTATGTCCAAAATTCAGCAGCCAGAATCCTGACCAGGTCTAGTGCAAGTGTTCACATTACTCCTATCCTGGAGTCCTTGCACTGGCTTCCGGTCAAATTCCGCATAGACTTTAAAATCCTCATGCTCACCTACAAGGCTTTACATGGCTTGGCACCTCAATACCTGTCTGAACTTTTATCGCCTTACTCCCCACCTCGCAACCTCCGCTCTTCAAATTCTGCCCTCCTTACTGTCCCCCAAGCCCGCCTACATTGTATGGGCGACAGGGCCTTCTCCTGCTATGCCCCCAAGCTCTGGAACTCCTTGCCCAAGGATATTAGAGAGTCACCTTCTCTAAACTCCTTCAAATCCAGACTCAAAACCTTCTTCTTCAGAAAAGCCTTTACCTAACTGGTTCCATTTTTAACCCCTCTTCTCTTCTTAATACCATCTTCCACGGTTCTCCTCTATTGTTATTGTTGTATTGTTGTAATTATAATTGTGTCCTGTCTTATGAAATTTTCTTATTAATTGTTGTAGTCTTCTTAATTATTGTTATTGTCATCCTGTAAAGCGCTTTGAGAAGCCACCTTTAAAGGCGCTATATAAAATAAAGTTTATTATTATTATTATTATTATTATGAAGGTTGAGCTCTATGTATCAAATACAGTATCACTACTCAGAGCTTGATTGTACCACTACCTCACTGCCCCTGGGACTGCTGGGCACCCCTGTCAGAGCAGTACTGGAGTACACTTGGAATGAGTCCGCCATATTTCTCCCAGCTTCCCTACAGCAGTAACTTCTTTAACACACTTGCTCCCAACAGGCCTTCAGTGATGTTCATGCCTTTCCCCTTTTCTTGATGCCAGCTCTCCTGCGAGATGCAAATGGCAAACAGCACTGCAGGTGGACAGGTGGGAGAAATAGGTCGGTGACCCTTGTTTTTTTTTTCTTCAGCAGGTGTGGGAGAAGCCGTCCTTTGGAAATTGGAGGGGTATACAATAAAAAATTATCTTTGAATTGGCGATTTTTTTAAAGTTTCTCTGAAGACACTTTGAACTCACTTGAAGCTGAAATTAAAGTAGTCTGGTAATTTCCATGTCCTTTCAGTGCTATAACAAGGTAACCAGTAAAAACGTGTGAGGGAGGATGAATATGTAGGGCTGACATTTACAGTCCATCTGTGAGTATGTAAATCCTACTCTTATTCTGGTACTCAAACACAAAGCCCTGATTTACAATTGAGCTAAAACAACCACAATTTCCTTATGGGAAATTCTTACAGATTAGAAAAATAATCAATAAGCAATATGGTCCATAACTATACAGAGACACGTAGGAAGCTCCATTTATGAAACAAGAACAACACAAATTAATACACAGCAAAAAAAAGTGTAAAAAGTGAACGAAATCCAAATGCTTCATGCACAGCAGAATGATGCTTGTTCATCTGAAGATGAGCACTTGCCTGAGCCTTGGCCAGTCTCTTCTCTAGCAGGTCCCGCTCCCTCTCGGTTTGCTGTAGCCTCTTATTGAGCTCCACTATGTCCCCTTTCAGCGATGCCAGGGCTGCCAGATGTAGCTGTGAAAGAAACACCCAGTGAAACAAACTCGGGCAAGGGCAACAAGCACAGAGTATCACTCCACAGACGCTACTGTTAAACCTGGATACAAATGCAAAGATAAAGGCAGGACTGCCTTTGGTGTGTGTGGACAGGAAATCTCCAAGAAAACATACAATGTGTGTCATCAGAAATGGTACTCATTAGGAGGCAACTGTTTTTTGTAATACTTCTCGTACAACAACATTTCAAGCTTTTGCATTACAGGACTATGTAACTTATTAGACACTGTTCCGAGACTACAGCCTACATTGGGATAACGAAAGTGGAAAGTTCTGTTTATTTAAAGGACTACTACTATAAGCAGTCATATCCATTTTTTTAAAGACACCCGCATCTTATGCACAATGCAAATCCCCAGCCCAGAGGTATCTTGGCCCAGTGCATTGCTGTTGCTTGGAAAATGCCTGTCACACCAGACTATCCCAGTTCAGATGTGTCTAGACTCATCTGGGTGTAACGCATGCTCTGAAAGGCATTTTACTTGATGCCTTAGGTACTCTTTTCCTGACCACATTTTAATCTCTGGTAACATGATCACCAAAAAAGGCTGTAACTACAGTAGGTGCTATCTGGAAATGTAAACATATCAGCTTTGATCAAATGAAAAAATTATTACCTGGAAATGTAACAACAAACTCATCCAGCAGCCATATACACTGTAATCACAACATCTTGGGCTAGTGGTACTGTGGATTAGCACATGGCTCTAGTAAACTGCCACAAATCAGCACCAAACTACTGCAACTCATCTTTACTCTTTTACTCTTTACATCTTTTAGAATTCCCAAATCATTGTGCAGCTTCACAATAAATTAAAATATGTATGTTAATGAATCAAATAGAACATTAACTATGAAATGAAAATTAAACTTTAACATAGATAACCTACTTCCATTGCCAAACATAATTCAAATTCCTTCAATGTTTTTCAAAAATGTAAAGGTACTATATTTAAGAAATATCTGATTTATTTTTGTAAAACAACCTACAAAATACACCCCTTTAGCCTGGACATTCATAAGTTAGCTTCTAAAATTAGAAAAAAAAACATGCTCATATGAATACAATACAGACTGAAATTAAACACTTAAGGTCTTTTTTACAAGACAATTTCAATCACTCTTCACTTCACATTTGAACTTTTTTACTACCAGTTACCAACATCTCCCCACCATGAAGGTTAATTTAAGGCCAAGAACAATCTAGCCATCTGTTATGCGACTTACCAGACTTACTCTCTCATCAGTAAGAGAACTGAAATAACAAAACAAAAATAAAAGCTGTACAGAAACATATATTTCACAAGCACAATGTGTATCTTGCAGCTTCACATGTACGTTGAAGTACTGGTTTTCACTCCGAGTTGACATGCAGAGACATTTGAAGCACATGACCTGCTGCAGTCAGTAAACCACGAGGAACTGATGAATAAGCTTCACTTGGCTTCAGAAGTTGTGGGAGGCAGCCATTATTAACTGGTCAGCCTTTTCATTTCCTTTCGGCATCTGAAGACGTCTAGTTCCTAAAGTTAAAATCCAAATACTCTGTACTCAAGAGTCCTATTTTTAGTACATCCTGTAACTTCATGCTGTTCCTGCATGTGTTCACAGAAGCTCAGCCCTGTGAATTATTTATATATGGAGGGCCTATAATAAGACTTTCTGTGAAAGGATTTGGACATTTGAGATTTAGATAAATTAATGCTACGTAATACTCTCCCACTTGGAATCAGAGCTAAAATGCAAAGAAGCTCCTCTGGTGACATTTTTAAAAAGTGAACATATTCCTGTAACATTATGATGCTACTGTTTGCTTTTAACTTTTTTTGAGCCAGAACATTTTCTAGATTGTCAATGTTTACTTCTTAAATTTGCAATGACATTTATTTTAATTGTACTCACTGCCCCAATAGCTAATAACACTCCGTGAAAGACAATGTCAATCCCTTCAGACTGATGAACAGACGGCTTCTTACAAAATACATTCCTTTTAACAGAGGCACAGTAAATTATTTTGAAAATGTTTAAAATAATGTATTCCATGATGGCACTTGAAGATGGATTCCGATAAATGAAAGCAATAGAAATAATAATCATTGCTTACACTTCTATAGCGCTTTTCTGGACACTCCACTCAAATCGCTTTACATTTAACGTGGACTCCCCTCCACCACCACCAATGTGCAGCCTCACCTGGATGATGCGACTGCAGTCATAGTGCACACAGTACACTCCCCACACACCAGCTATCAGTGGGGAGGAGAGCAGAGTAATGAAGCCAATTCATAGATGGGAATTATTAAGAGGCCAAGACTGGTAAAGGCCAGGGGAAATTTGGCCAGGACACCGGAGTTACACCCCTAATCTTTCCAAAAAACACCCTGGGATTTTTAATGACCACAGAGAGTCAGGACCTTGGTTTTACGTCTCATCCGAAGGATGGCGCCTTTTTACAGCATAGTGTCCCTGTCACTATACTGGAGCATTAGAACTCACACTGGTGAGCACCCCCTGCTGACCCCACTAACACTAATACTACTACACAAACATTGAACCACAAAAAAACAAATGTTTAAAAGTAAGTTTTAAGACAGGATTTAAAAGTTCTAATAAGGACGATTTAAAATGGACTATGAGGTCATTCCATTACTTTGGAGCAACAGGTAAGAAATCACTGGTCTCTTAGTGTTTGAAGTCTCATACTGGGTACTACAGAAGGCCAGAAACTCAAAAGTGTAAATGAGTTATGTCAGAGTCAGTCCGGACCAAAACCTTACAGTCACTAAATAAGCAAACACAAACACAAGCTTCTCTGCTGCTGACTGTAAGAGACATTAATCGAAATGAGCAAATTACAAAGATGGAAAAAACACCTTCACAGCACTGTGAACATAAGCCTCAAACCCAAGGCTAAGATCGAAGATGACACCACTATTCCAGACCTGAGTATATGGACTGACTCCAAGACCATCCAGAGTCAAACTAAAGTTGACAGTTTGACATTCGCGGAGTTGGTAGAAGATCTTATCATCACATCTTCGATCTTGTCAAAGTTCAGACATAAAAAAAACATGACATCCATTTTTAACATAATCTTTAGCAGTTTGACAAGGCATATAGTACCTATTTAATGACGGGTTTCACGCAAACAAACTTCTGTGTCATCAGGAAATAAACGAAAACTGATACCATGCAATGAAGAATCTGACCCTACAGTAACATACAGAAACTAAAAAGAACTGGAATAAGAAAAGAGCCCTAAGGGAAGTTAGATAGCACCAATTTTGTCAAGGGGGATTAAAGCCCAATTTAAGCACATTAAGATCAAAGAGGATTTAAGCCATAACACATTCAAGGAAAACAATTCATTTCAAGTGTATGCTATAGTAAAAGGCTGGTACATTCAATGGTCTTTGATTATTGTTACAGCAACACCCTCTCTATAGACACACAGGATCTCCCTAACCAAAGGTCCACAGGGGGAGAAACCAGATTTACCAAAATTATCAGAATTTGATTATGACAAGTTTTAGGTAAACATGGAAAGGCAAGACCCTTCTAAGCACTACCAGAGTCAGAGTTATAACAAAATGAGGAGTATTGCACAAATATCTTACATTAATAACAGGGTTTGCAAGTAATCTAGCATTCCTACTTCTCCAGAAGGAAGTGATGTTACTGTTCAACTGGGTATTGTAAACAAAGCTGTGACCAGAAGTCCTGTGCAGATATCTGTGTTTATGCAGTCTGCCTAACGTACACACAAAAGAATTTAGCTCACATTAAGCCACAACAATGAAGACAATGAGAAATTCAGAGACACTGCACGAGGTGAGTAATATATGAATTTGAATGACCAAAGTACAAGTCAACCACATTCACTCCAATACCCAGACAGCATAGCTTGAAATGACTCCCAGGGAACCAACACTATTACTGTTGAATACAAAACTGCAGGTTGCGGTAGGCCTCACCCTGTCTGGGCTAGGTGCTCCACTACAGAAGATTCCAGCAGAAATAACACTAACAGGATCGTATGACAGAGGGCCAAGTCCTACAAGGGCAAGCCACAGCACGCATCATGCAAGTGGTGTAGTAAACGGGGACTGCAGCCGTATCGGGATCCGACAAGGCTACTCACACTGGCAGAATCTAGGCTTGCAGCAGAATCTAGCAAAGACTGATCCCAGCTGACCAGGTGGGCATTCCTAAGCCTGCAGCAGATAGCGGTCAGAGAGAGTTTTCTTTCAGCAAGAAAACAAGAGTTTTCTTTTAACCTGAAATAGATTTTAATTCAAACAAAATGTCAAGACAGCACTTGATGTGTGGCATGATTTATTAAAATGTGTATATTTCAATAAAATTTGGCTTTGGTGAATTAAGTTTATAAAACCCTTCCAAATATGGTCAATTGAATATCTGCTTAAGAAGATTAATTGAAATGTATATAATGACACGTAGCAAAGGACATCGCATTGCACAGAGAATGAAAATTACTTTGTTTGTCCAGACAAATAGGAACAATTCACTCCCATTTCTCATGACTTCCTTGAATAATAATGCAGGTATCATTACTGAAGTGGGTCTAAAAAGAGAAATATTACAGAATATAATCTGAGATAACTTTTCTTCTGTTACAGAGTGCATTTGTAGAGACCATTTATACAATTTATGAATACAACAATTTTTATTACCATTATTATTGATCACCGTTAACACCAAAGTTAGGGAATTCCTAAGAGCTACCCATGCAAACAGTGTTTGTCGTCTTGATGTGGATACATTATGTGCAAACATCTACAACCGTTTTAACGAATAATTGTGTTTTTAAATAACTACTTCAAGTGGCTTGTGTCTGACACCACAAAAGTTCATGTCGCTCCCATTGGAAGCAATACTGTTCACATAAGATGCATGCTTCATACCCAGGTTACTACAAGTGGAGTTTTGTAGCAACT